GGGTTCAAGTGATGCTCCTGCCTCAGCCTCCAGAGTAGCTGGGATTATACCTGCCACCATGCCCGGCTAATTTTTTGTATTTTTAGTAGAGACAGGGTTTCACTACATTGGTCAGACTAGTCTTGAACTCCTGACCTCAGGTGATCCACCCGCCTCAGCCTCCCGAGGTCCTGGGACTACAGGCGTGAGCCACCGTGCCCGATAGAGACATAAATTTTTAAAGACTGAAAATGTGAAACGTTTTTATCCTTACACTTTATAGTTTAGCTGGGTAAATAAATGTTATGAACATCAAAGGAATGAGAATTAGAAAAGTAAGCAAAGACCGGAGGAAAGGCTGCTCCCTGGCAGTCTATGTCTGCCTCATCTACAGCCTCAGAATCTCCAGAGTCTGAGTACAGACTTCCATGGCAGGCATCTTCAGGCCCTGCAGAGGAGTATCTTCATATGTCCTTGAGCAGCTCTCCCTTTTCCCTGTTCTACTCCCTCACTGACATGATTTAACCCCCTTCCTCTGCACGTTTGCCAGCTTCTCCAACTGTCCTTGAAACTTGATGGCCACATACAGAAGTCCCAGACCCAGATGTACAAAAGACAACACATTACTGTTAAGTCCAAGGAGTAAGCAAAATACTTCCTCTAATGTTCAGCATGTAGATTTATCGTATTGCTCTGCTTTTTGCCCTTAGTGGTTAGAAATAATTATGGATGTGTAAGTGCTCTTTAAACTATAAAATGCAATCCATGTGTGTGTGAAGGGATTCTTATCAGGAGGCCTAGTTGTCTTTGCACCTGGTGAGCAGAGTTGGTGACTGCTAAGCTTGGTCTTGACCTGATTCCCCAAAATGGTGGGAGGCTTTTAAAAGAAAAAAGCTGGGAAGAAGGAGTGAGGGAAGTCTCTGCTTTTGAAGGAATTACTGGATATACTGTCAAGATGTAGAGGACAGTAAGAGGGAGAGGGGGTTCAAATATATATACACATTTGCTTATGGTTCACAAAGAAACTAATAGAATAGTTACCTATAGATGTTAGGAGAGTACAAGAAAGAGGAGGAGATAGGAATCCAAGTTAGAAGGAAAGTTTTGTTTCTGTTTTTTAAATAGAAAATCACAGCTAATAAATGTAGAAGGAATAACAGAATTAGAAATTACCGTTTTGTAAACCCTAATTGAGGAAAAAATGGATCTGAACAATAGTCATCTGACAGTCATCTAGGCTGTTAACTATTAAGTGAAAGTTTGATCAGAACTTCATAGAGAATGAATCAGACTTACAACACCTGACACCATTCATAACTGATAATGGGAACCTCGATCCCATGCTTCCTCCTGATGGAATGCAACAAGAAATGCACAGTGCCACCAAAAAAGTATTCCTGTCAAAAAGTTAGGAAAAATGGAACTTGAATCTCATCAAATCTCTAATGACTAGTTTGTGGAAAATATGGAAGATAAAAGAACATGTTTAATGTCACCACAATAATGCAATTAGCCAAATCCAGGATGTAAGAAATTGCAGTTTCTTCAATAAATAAATGGCATTTTTAAAAAGCAGGAGGTGGGGGAGGAATTATTATCAACTAAAAGAGAATTAGGAGATACTTCAACCAAATGCAGTGTTTAGATTCTGATGCAAACAAACAAAATATAAATGGACTTAAAAAAAAAATGAAGATCCGACATAGATGGCTATTAATCGATATTAAGGAATCGTTGTTAACATGGCTGGGTGTGACAGTGGCACTGCGGTCACTTTTTAAAACCCTTACCTGTCAGAGATACTAACTGATGTATTGTGCTATCTGGGCTTTTCCTTATGTGACTCCAGCACATACACGTGAACGTTGACGTGCACATGAAGAGGTTGTAGGAGTGATAGTTAAAACCATACTGGCAGAATGTAGATGACTGTCGAAGCTGCATATTGGGCACATGAGAGGTTGTTATAGTCTTTCCCCTAGTTTTGTGTAGAGATGAAAATTTCCGTAACACAGACTTTTTAAAAATAAGGAAGTCACCAGGCACCGTGGCTTCTGCCTGTAATCCCAGCACTTTGGGAGGCTGAGGTGGGTGAATCACCCGAAGTCGGGAGTTCGAGACCATTCTGGCCAACATAATGAAAGCCTGTCTCTATTAAAAATAGAAAATTAGCTGGGCGTGATGATGCATGCCTGTAATCCTAGCTACTTGGGAGGCTGAGGCAGGAGAATCGCTTAAACCTGGGAGGTGGAGGTTGCAGTGAGCCGAGATCGCACCATTGCACTTCGGCTTGGGCAACAAGAGTGAAACTCCCTCTCAAAAAAAATAAAAAATAAAAGAAGCAGATGGGTGGGAGCTGTACAGAAACAAGATGACTACCTCATAAACTGGTCCAATTTCATAATCTGTGAAAAAGCCAATTGGTGGCTTAGCTAGAAACACTGGAGTATCAGCACAACTGTGGGATGAAAAGAGGGGGAGAGAGGCTGTTAGTTTCAACCATACAATGAAATAGTAGGCAGTGACTGATTAATATGAAAATAAATACACAAAGGCCATCAAAGATATGCATGATATGTCATTTGTTGGGGTCTTCTTTTTGGTTCTTGTTGTTAATGCAGGTTATCAAATCATTTTACAGTACGATCTAATCTTTGTGAAGACATAAGTAGGTACATATTTCATTTTCAATATGCATATGAAAAACTCTACATGTTTAAACACCAATAGGTAACTGGGTTTTTAATATAGGTATCTCAAATATTAGTCTTTTCTAATCTCTCTCTCTTTCTTTCTCTTTCTTTCTTTCTTTCTTCCCCTCCCCTCTCCTCCCCTCCCCTCCCCTCTCTTCCACTCCCCTTCCTTCCCCTTCCTTTCCCTTCCTTCTTTTTTTGGGACAGGATCTCACTCTGTCACCCAGGCTGGAGTGCAGTGGCACAATCTTGGCTCACTGCAGCGTCGACATCCCTGTGCTCAGGTGATCCTCCTACTTCTGCCTCCCATGTAGCTGGGATCACAGGTGCACACCACCACACTCAGCTAATTTTTGTATCTAATTTTTCTTAATAAAAAGATATTAGTTGTCTAATAAAGAAATTTAATAGTTTTTGGCTTATTAAAATTATGAACCTATGAAGCAACTCTACTTTCATAAAGACTATTACTGATGTATAGGCAAAGGCACTCTTTAAAAAATCAGTTTACAGTAATTATTTATAATTAATCAAATTTCAAACACTGTTATTATTCAAGACCTATGCCTCTAATGGGATTGTTTCCACTTGACTCAGATTGTTCCAATGTGAGTAAAGGGCCAACATCAACCCCTATTTCTCAAGACCCTGGCAGGTCAGAAAAGCATAAACCCAGGACTCTGGGGAAGGTCCAAAGGCCCACCTGTGGGTGACCCTGCCGCCCTGCTCTGTTCTGATACTGCTACCCTGCCCCACAAGTCTAGGGGCCTCTACAGCCAGACCAATGGAGGACCATCTAGGTTTACTCTAAAGGGTCAGATTTTCTGAGAGTTCAAGTCAGGGAAAGACATACCTCTGTTCTGGTTCTGTTCTCTGGAATTCTCCTATCCGTGTTGGCTTCTCTGGAGGAAAAACAAGAGACTTGCCTCCATGTGGAGTGTTAGGAGGGAAAAAACGGGGGTTTTTTAGGAACTGGTTCCGACTTTCCATTCTTGCAAGCAGAAGTCGGTCTAGTTCTCTCTGCGGCACACGTAAGTGGCTCATCCAGTTTTTATTCTTTGGTGGACTTGTTTTCTTTGAAACACACAAAAGCACAGAGTCAATGACAGACAAAGGGACTGTGCGTGTTGACTTCCTGACCAGCTGCATGACCCATAGATGGCCAACGCAAGCTCTACTCTATTCTGCAATGGATTAATCACAGCTTCTCGTGTCATCAGAATGCCTTCCCCTTCACTGCCTCTCTGTCCCCCCAAATACTGCTGTGCACAGGCTTCCAAACTGACCTTGAGAGGTTCTCTGGTCCTTTGTTTGGCCTTAGGAGTTGAGTTCCATGTCACGCTGTCCACAGTGTGGTCTAACTCATCTTCAAGCTTAGCAAGCTTTTTTCTGCATGAGTCTTTAAGCTTCTTGTTCAGCTCTTTCTTTGGGATGGAATGCTGCTCACAGCTAAATGTCATTTTTAAATATCCTGGTACAGAGATGCCTCCAGCATCAAGGAAACAAATTGAATTACTATAGCAAGGTGAGGAAGTGGACATTTTTTTTGTCTTTTAATTTTTTTTTTTTTTTACTACTCATTTTTCATTCTAAGTGTTTCAAGGAAGTGGGCATTTCTAAGATGACCAAATAAAACCACCAAAGTCACAGTTAGCTTTATCTTTCTCCTAAACTTTCACATGTACAACACCAGCTGTAGTTGCTCTTCAACATATGAATGATCCTGAAACTTATTCTATGGATTCAAAATGGCCGGGCGCAGTGGCTCACACCTGTAACCAGAGCACTTTGGGAGGCCAAGGTAGGAACATCACTTGAGCCCAGGAGTTGACATCAGCCTGGCCAACACAGTGAGAGTGAGAGCATGTGTCTACAAAAAATAGATTAAAAATTTTGGCTGGGCATGGTGGCTCAAGCCTGTAATCCCAGCACTTTGGGAGGCCGAGGCGGGTGGATCACGAGGTCAAGAGATCGAGACCATCCTGGTCAACATGGTGAAACCCCGTCTCTACCAAAAATACAAAACATTAGCTGGGCATGGTGGCGTGTGCCTGTAATCCCAGCTATTCAGGAGGTTGAGGCAGGAGAATTGCCTGAACCCAGGAGGCGGGGGTTGCGGTGAGCCGAGATCGTGCCATTGCACTCTAGCCTGGGTAACAAGAGTGAGACTCCGTCTAAAAAAATTTTTGCTAGGTTTGGTAGTGCATGCCTGTGGTCCCAGCTGCTCAGGGGGCTGAGTAGGGAGAATTGCTTCAGCCCAGGAGATCAAGGCTGTAGTGAGTTATGGTTTTGTTTCTACACTACAGCCTGGGCAACAAAGCAAGACCCGGTTCTCAAAACCAAACAAATAACAACAACGAAATTTAGGACTAGAGTGCTAAAATATTTTCAGTTTTCCAACATGGTCAAAGAACATGGGTAGACCACTGTCACACACACATGCATGTACACATACATGAGCCCACTTTCTGAAGAGCTCACCAAAGGAATGAAAGTTTGTGTAAGCTTTTTACACCCTCAAGATCATCGCCCACCCGCTGGCTGGATGCGGTGGCTCACGTCTGTAATCCTAGCACTTTGGGAGGCTGAGGCAGGTGGATCACTTGAGGTCAGGGATTCTAAAGCAGCCTGGTCAACAGGGTGAAACCCTGTCTCTACTAAAAATACAAAAAAACAATTATCCAGGCATGGTGACAGGCACCTGTAATCCCAGCTACTCAGGAGGATGAGGCAGGAGAATCTCTTGAACCTGGGAGGCAGAGGTTGCAGTGAGCCAAGATGGCACCATTGCATTCTAGCCTGGACAACAAGAGCAAAACTCTGTCTCAAAGAAAAAAAAACAAATCATCCCCCTAAAGGTTAAATGAGAGCATTCACTGCTAGCAAGAATGCAATGAAATGGACACCACAGATCTCTTAGCACAATGCCTGATAAATCCTCAATACATGTTAGCCCCATTCTTATCGACCTGCATAACGACCTGCATAAGATAGTGAGTTTCCAACTAACTTTTGCCTTACTTTCCCATGTAGCTGAGACCATCAGTGGAGCTCTTCCCAGGAGCCCCCTCAGTTTTCTAGATCCCAATCCTCCCACCCCAAATACCTTCTCAGCCCCCAAGCCCCAGAGAATCAAACAGTCCCACAACTGGAGCTATGTGAGAGCTCATCTTCTGAGCCCAGCATGCTAGGCAATCCTGACATCTGGCCCAGGATCCACACAGGGACTTCTCCCCGTCACACAGGGACTCTTTCAAAAGTCTAACTCTCTGCTTAAACCTACATCACAGCCTCCCACCCCACTCACTCTCAGAATATCTTGCCTCCCATATCACAGGAAATTGGCCCAATGTCACATACATGTACATACCGTCCCTGCCTCTCCACTCAGCCTTCCCTCCCTTCTGAGAGGTTGGGAAGCTGCTCTTTTTCTGCATGGGAAAGCCCATAGGTCCATGTTCCAACCCGTAAGCATGCTCCCTTGCTTATCTATGTCTTCAGTTTTTCCTTCTCTTGGTTCAACTACTGCTCAAAACACTTTCATAACTCTTGGTGTTGGGCAGCAGATGTGGGCGTCATAGTCCACATGGAGAAGCCTGGACTTCAGTTGTACAGACTGGGAAGCACTAGTGAGAAATTGGCATGCTCAGATTTGACTTTCCCAACAGTCACCATCAAAATTAAAGGGGAAAAAAACCCGTGAACAAGGAAATGGCAGCAGAGGTGGCCAATGCGACTCTGCTACAGCATAACTTTCCCGGAATGCTGTCAGAGGGGTTGGGAGCACAGAAGCATTACCTGTAGGTGCAGAGTGAAACGGCACTCTATCGGTGTAGTAATCTTCCGGAGAGATCAGGCCATGTTTCTGTAGCAATTCGCTGTCTACACACCATCTGAAGACCGTCTTCACTGCACAGAAGGGAAGGGGAGGACAAGGTGTTTCCAACCAGACTGACCTTGAAGAACCCACACCCAAACTTTTTTCATCCTCCAAGCCTAAACTATCTAAGAAAATTGCTTCTCAGAATCCTGTGGGAATGTTGAGATTTAAGAAACTAATCATCTATCAGCCACTTAAAAGAGGCCAACCCTGGGGCAAAGCTGTGTTGTGTTATTTGAGCTAAAACACTGTTACTCACAGAGAAGTCCATAAAAAGACAGGATTATGAGAAATATGGTAGACTGAATAAGTGGTCCCAATTCTTCACTCCTCTCTGTATCCAAGGCAACCATTATTCTCTACTATTAATCTTTGCCTTAGTATTATAGTGTAGAAACATTTTTGTCTTATAGTGTAGACATAATCGGGTGAAATACAGTTAGGAACTGAAGGGACATTGTGAGAAGTGCTCAGGAGGCCAGCGTGAGAGCTTTGCAGTAGCACCAGCACCTGGGAAGGCGCCTGTTACTTAGCAGGCCGGGAAAGGGAGTTTCCCTCTCACTGGGGAGTCCACAGAACACTCTGCTCTGCCCGGCTTTTGAGGAAGGCCTGACATTAGCCAGACCTGCCCGCAGACATCCAGGGCTTCAATGCCTCTCTGTGGTGCTGTGCTCCGATGGTCACCATCCCTGTCCGCTTTCATGTTCCGCCTTCTCACCCGGAGCTCTTTTTAAGTTCTTCAAAGTTGTGATAAGAACAGAGGAATCCTAAAAGCCGTTAATCTTTCTGGTAAGTACATAGAAAGATGCTGACGTATGTGCCTCCCCTCCCTGCAGCGGCTACCTGAAAGGGAGGGGCCCCCTGTACTGTAAGCACGTGATTTGCTTGACCCTATTAATCATGTCAGATGATTCACTCTCCTGACCCTGCCCCCCTGCCTTGTATTCAATAAATATCAGCGCGTCCAGGCACTCGGGACCACTACTGGACTCCGCGCTTTGGTTGGCAGTGGACCCCTGGGCCCAAACTCTGTGTTCTCTTTCTTGATGTCTTGTGCCTTGTATTTCCACAGTTTCTCGTCTCCACACCTGTAGAGAGTGGCTCACAGGACCCTGTAAGGCTGGACCCTACACGAACAGGGAGGGTTTGACTTCCTCTTTTCCTTTTGGATGTCTTCCTTTTTTTTTTTTTCAGACGGAGTTTGACTCTTGTTGCCCAGGCTGGAGTGCAATGGCACGATCTTGGCCCACTGCAACCTCTTCCTCCCGGGTTCAAGTGATTCTTCCGCCTCACTTCCTGAGTAACTCCATGTACCACCATGCCTGGCTAATTCTGTATTTTTAGTAGAGATGGGGTTTCTCCATGTTGGTCAGGCTGGTCTTGAACTCCTGACCTCTGGTGGTCTGCCCACCTCAGCCTCCCAAATTACTGGGATTACAAGCACGAGCCCCTGCGCCTGGCCTGCATGCTTTTTATTTCTTTCTCTTGCCTGATTGCTCTGGCTGGGACTTCCAATACCATGCTGAATAGGAGTGGTGAGGGGGAAGATTTGCTCTACCAAATATCAGCCGGAAGTTAAACTGAAGTGATGCCAAGGTCAAGGCATAGCTGGTGAGGTTACGAACGAGGTTACGGCAGCCCTAGTCACTCCCTACAGAGCCAGTAATGGACAGAGAGCCAGGGAGCAGGGACACAGGGAGGAGACATCACATGCACTTTGAGGACGAAACGGCAGTTGCCTTTTCACAGTTCATGTCACAGGGGCGACCTGAAACATGTCAGAGACACAGCCTCTTTGTGCACCTTGGGCATCTCTTTTAAGAAGAAAGGAGAAGGAGGAGGAAAGAGCATTTATGGAGCATCTGCTCCTTCTGGGCACAGCATAAAGGACTCTTCACACACAGGCTAATTTAAGCCCTCCCAGGATGGAGGTATTGTCCTCATTTACTAATTAGGATTCACCTTTAACCACATTCGATAGCTATTTTAAAAGTTGAGGCTGGAAGTGGTAGCGCACACCTGTAATGTCTGCACTTTGGGAGGCCAAGGTGGGAGAATGGCATGAGTCCAGGAATTCAAGACCAGCCTGGCCAACATGCTGAGACCCCATCTCCTCCACCAAAAAAAAAAAAAAAAAAAAAAAAGTCGAAACTGGGTTTTGTTGAGCCATTTTAAGTATAGATGCTTCAAGAAAATGCCTAAAGATCAGAAAGCATCAGGTGTCCTGTGGTCTTGTGATAATACACAACTGGATTCTTTCCTTGGGAGTAATGGGATATGCTAGAATTGCTTAACTATGGCTGGGATGTGGAGAGGAGGCGGAAGGAGTGGGAAAGACGGCAAGAAGGTGCAAGCGTGAGCAGCCCGGGGGCGGAAAGAGCTTTTGCTTTGAAGACAACTGATAAGATGGTCATCCAAACGTGTCTGAGCATCAGAAGCGTGGCGCCGGCTGACTGCCACTTGACACCAGGCACTCTGCATGCCTTGTTTTCTTTAACTTTTGCAACAGCCATCAGTCATTCCAGAGGTCGAGAAGTGAGCCAAAAGCTCCAGGGCCGATAGCTGGAAAGGCAGGATTTGAATCCTAGACTTGGTGATTCCAAAAGTTTCCGCTGGGCCCTCTGAGATTCATGCCAAATCACAAGCAAAATCTCTCCAGTCCTCCACCTCTGTTCTAAACCTTTTCTTTCTTGTTTTAAGTGAAAATCTTACTTGCGTCCGAGACTATGACCCCCCTGCAGCTTTTTCCAGGTTGTATGTCAGGGACAGGGAAAGGGGTTGTGCTTTTATTCCCACGCCTCTTGGCTCAAAGCGACTGAAGATGGAGTCAATGTCCACCTTACGTCTCCAGGCTGCTGTCTCCTCCTTCCCTAAAATCTGTGAGCTCTGCAACTGTTGGCATCTGCACCCCTCCACAAGGGACAGGCACATCTTGGTTTATTGCATTTTGCAGATATTGGTTTTTTTCTCTCCTTGTTTCAAGTTTTAATGAAAGCTTGCATATAAGATCACTTTATTCCTGCATCTTCTCAATGGTTTCCTCCTTGTGTTTGCCCTTTTCCTTTCCTACTTGGCGAGATTTGGCTTTCTGTTCAAGGATCTTTTTGAGGTCTTTGTCCAGTTTTAGCCTAGTGATAACCACCTTGCCGGGTGAATGCCTACATGGACAGTTGTGCCATCAGCCCTTTCCCGCTGCACCTGTTCAATGTAGATTACGTATTTCTTCCTGTAAACCTGGACTACTTTGCCAATCTGCCGACCTTTCTAGTGTCCTCGTACAGCCTGAACTTCATCATCCTTTCGGATGGGCACGGATTGCATGCTGTGCTTCTGCCTCAGCTCTTTGGAAAGAGGGGAGGACATAGTCTTCCTGTGAATGTGGGAAGGTGCATTGAAATGCCTTTTGCCATTCTTGCTTCGGTTGGAAGTCACAAAGGGATTGAACTTCATTTTGGCTGCTCCAGCTTTGGTGATGGCCACAAAAGGGGGTATTGTGTTTTTTACAAATTGAAGGTTTGTGGCAACCTCTCACTGAGCAAGTCTATTGGTGTCATATTTCCAATATCATGTGCTCAATTGTGTTTCTGTCACATTTTGGTATTTGTCACAATATTTCAAACTTTTCATTATTATTATTATGTCTCATTATTATTTGCAATCAGTGATTTTTTATGTTACTACTGTAATTGTTTTAGGCTGCCACGAACTGCAGCCATGTAAGAAAGCATGAATTGATAAACATTGTGTGTTTTCTATCAGCTCCACCAGCCTGTGGCTCTTCAGTCTCCCTCTCTTCAGGTCTCCCTATTCCTTGAGATGCAAGCAGTGTTGAAATTAGGCCAATTAGTGACCCCACAGCGGCCTGCAAGTGAAAGAAAGAGTTTCCTGCCTCTCACTTTGAATCAAAAGCTAGAAATAATTAAGCTTAGTGAGGAGGGCATGTAAAAAAACTAAGATAGGCTGAAAGCTAGGCCTCTTGTGCCAGATAGCTAAGTTGCAAATGCAAAGGAAAAGTTCTCGAAGGAAATTAAAGGTGAGCACATGAATGACAAGAAAGTGAAACAGCCTCATGGCCGAAAGGGAGAAAGTTTTAGTGGTCTGGGTAAAAGATCAAACCAGCCACAACTTTCCTTTAAACCAAAGCCTAATCCAGAGCAAGGCCCTACCTTGCTTCAGTTCTATGAAGCAAGACCGAGAGGGGTGAGGAAGCTGCAGAAGACAAGTTGGAAGCTAGCACAGGTTGTTCATGAGGCTTAAGGAAAGAAGCCATCTCCATAACATGGAAGTGTGAGGTAAGGCAGTAAGTGCTGACGTAGAAACTGTACAAGTTATCGGGAAGATGTAGCTGAGATCGCTGGTGAGGGTGGCTGCACCACACCACAGATTTTCAGTGCAGATGAAACACCCTCTATTTGAAGAAGATGCCATCTAGGACTTTCACAGCTAGAGAGAAGTCAACATAGGGCTTTAGAGCTTTAAAACATAGGCTGGCTCTCTTGTTAGGGGCTAGGCAGCCTGTGACTTTCAGATGAAGCCAATGCTCATTTACCATTCCAAAAATCCTAGGGACCTTCGTGCTGTGATTGCTTCCACTCAAACATGAAACAAAAGGAACGGTAACACGTTTCTGTGAGGACTATTGAAATAACAGTTTAGAACGTTACATAAACTTAGTGGGAAAGCAGCAGTGGCGTTGGAGAAGTTGACTCTAATTTTGAAAGAAGTTCTGTGGTGGGTAAAATGCTGTCAAAGAGCATTACATACCACAGAGAAACCTTTTGTGAAAGGAAGAGTCGATCGACGTGGCAAACTTCACTGGTGTCTTATTTTAGGACGTTGCCACGGCCACTCCAGCCTTCACAGCCACCACCATGACCAGTCAGCAGCCATCAACATCAAGGCAGGACCCTCCACCAGCAAAAACTCTCTGACTAGCTGAAGGCGCAGATGATTGTTAGTGTTTCTTAGTAACAAAGTATTTTTTATTTTTTTTTTTAGAGACGGGGTCTCGCTAGATTGCCTAGGC